TAAAATTTAGTTCCTTATGAACCAGACATTACATTCACGGTATATGCTTTAAAACTCCCATTTCATACATTTGTTTACAAGAATTCTCGTCACGTTTAATTTTCACTCGGCAAATATTTGATCAATAGTTATGACGTCATGGGTTTGGTATTTAATCCCCGTAATAAATACTAAGCTATTTATACCCTCCAAAAACGACAAAATTTATATTATGCTTTTGAATGATTCAATTCACTTCTTGGACCTGACATTAAACTTTGAATATAGATATGAAGGAATCATTATCTCTAAAGTTTACGTAATTCAGCTTACTTTGACGTCATACTGTACAGGCAAGTAGGATATCTGAGTACAGCCTTAACATACCTGCGAGGACAATATACGGAATCTCTTTTGCGATATAAATATTTAGCTGAACAATTAATTAAAACGAAATAATAGGCCGTTTCAAAGCACATATTACGTTGTCTAGGAAGGGAACTGCAACAACCCTATACTCAACCCCCTCCCTTTCCACCTTGACCAACTCCTGTCAAGTTTTCCTTTCGAAATTTTTTTCTTCCTCATTTACTTTCTTCGGCAAATGAAACTGAAAGGAGATACTATCCCTCACGAATACTACATTTTAAATTATGTTATTCTGCCTCTCATCATCTCATTTGCTGATTGTATACCGGTAAATCATGTTAGCGCCCTTTACACCATACCTAAAACCAATATGAATGTTTTCTTATCTATTTTCAATTCCGTACCTCCATACATAACACTGGTTTAAATGTCAAAGTAAGATGTCAACTGTAAAAGTCAGCTCTTCTCGCAAAAGTCTATCTACCCATCATTTGAAAAATCAGTTGTTTAAAAATGCAATTAGTTTTTTTAACCTGAGATTTCCTAATTTTGTTAATTTTTTAAATTATATCAAAATGATTGTTTCAAAATAGTGAATACGCTTTATTTTACTATGTTGGGCAAAGTATTGCGCATTGAAATCCCCAGTCGCCCCCCTTAATTGAAAAAAAAAAAAACTTTTGCTATGATATCAACAAACCTAGTTTTCAATTTATCATGAAAAATGGTTGTATTGAATGTTGCAATGTCATTCGTTTTGAAGTTACTGACTTTTGGGGGAAAATGTAATTTTTAAAATTCTTATGGTTCTCTTAAGTTTTTGAGAATCCTCATTTGATTGACGCCACTTATAGAATATGCTGTGGGACAGTACGACTGATTATTAATTAATTAATTATCTGTTGTTTAACGCCGAGTCGGCGGTTTTTCAGCCATGTTTCGGCGGCAGTTAGAAATTCCTCCTTTTTAGCATTTTTTGTGCAGAGTAGATATAGAGTTTGGTCTGGACCCTTTGACTTGATTGTTTAAAGTATTAGTCTGAAATGTGAGTTTGAAGAATTTTATTCTTGGAAAGTGAACTCAGAGTATAAGTTGGATTTCCAGATGTAGAATCAAAACCAATTTCATTATAATTATGAGCCTTACAAACAAAGACAATATTGTTACAAGCCATATCTGCCTGAACCATAATAAAATATAGTTATTATGTAGTCTTTCTAAGTATTTTATCACTTCTGATTTAGCGAAAACGGAAGGATAGATGGTTCGCACATTGCATTTTAACTCTCTAATACGATTCTTTAATATATTTTTAAAACACTTAATCTATTCTGACAAAGTGTACATGTCTTCCTCTTTATATTTTCATCTCCACAACAGAGATGTACTTCTGTAGCCAAATGAAGTATCGGGGCTTCCTAAATTTAGGAGCCTTTAAAATGATTGCTTTTATGTCGTCATTTTCAAAGAATGTATAAATAATGCAGAGGAACTAAAGTTGTAAGAAGGGAATGTGCAAGAACACTAAAGAAAATTTTGTTTTTGGTGTTCAGTATTTAGGAATTGTAAGGTTTCTTTATAGTTGACAAATTAAGAAGCAATAGTAAAGGAAAATTTGTAGGAAATGCAGGGTGTAGACTTCAACTTGAAATATAATGGAATTCAAGACTGAATACTTTTATAATTAAGAACGTTTGTAATATTCAGAGCAACTATTTTTGTACTTATTGGAATTATTTGAGTAATTATCTTTTTTTTTTTCTTGTTTTTTTTTTTTTAAATTTATTTGTTTTATTTAGTTGATATATCATTTTCATTAATAAGGAAAAAAATTATTATGTCAAATGTTCATCCATTTGTTTGTATGATAAAGCTTTTGTCTTAAAGTTGTTTTACTTTTCTAGGTTCTGTGCTATAACACATCCTTGTTTTTATGTACAATTACATTATATTCCATACATATAAAAAGAAATTTAAAAATCATGGCCAAAAAAAAAAATAATAATAATAATAAATTAAACATATGTCCATTGCACATGAATGCCCTACCCAAGGTACACTAATTTTGCTTTGAAACAAGAAAAGAAATGTACTTTGATACATTGATGTGAGTTAAAGTAAAATAAAGGAAACAAGGACAAATTTTCGTAATTGTTTAATCTCCCTTCAACCTAAATTTGCCGACAAACGAATTGGCTGTGATTATTCAGCATAAAGTCGCTCGCGTGGCGCAGTAATTAGAGCGTTTGCTCTATAGAGTCACAATGTAAGTACATGTAGATCCTTACGTCGCAGTCTCGAATCCACTGTGGGACGTGGAGGTTAGTCCTTCGGATGAGACCGTATAAACTGAGGTCCCGTGTCGCAGTAGGTGCTGGCAAGAAAAAGATCCCTCACTGCTCAATGGCCCTGAGTGCCGAGTATAGGTCAAAATTTGCAGCCCTCCATCGGCAAGTGGTGGCGTCTCCATATGAGTGAAAAATTCTCGAAAGGGACGTTAAACAAAAAACAAACAAACATTCAACATAAATGCGAAATCAGTGACTCTTTTGGTCCGTGATTAAGGCTTTATGGTGGGGTGTACTTGGCCATATATTGAAAATACATCATTAAAAGTCTTCCTCAGTAGTCATCTGAATTAAGCTGCTAACTTAACAAAATTGTAAAAACCAGTAAGGCCTAAAAAAAATTATGTTTGTTTCCTATAACCCGACCAACCCTTTCAAATTATCCCCGGGTGGATTTTTCTCTGCCAAATCTGCGTTTGCTCTTTGGTTTGATCAATCAGCTGATTCCATTTATTCAAAAGATATTAATTGTATCTTTATTTGAGATAAAAAAAAATATGTTAACTTAGTCAACATTTACATGTACCTTAATTATAAAGAGCAATCATTATTGTAACATGCAACAATTCCCCCCCCCCCCCCCAACTTTTTGCAGTTCTTTCTCTGCCGCCAGGTAGTCATGTTGATGTCCACTGTAAATATAACACCTGGATAATTCAGTCCGGGGATATTTGACCCCATTATTTATAGGCAAAAAAAAATCTCGACCTACCGACCCTTGATTTTTTGGGAATGTTACAGGAAACAAACATCATTTTTTTTTAGGCCTAATGTACAGTGCAGCCCTGTACACATCTGAATCAATCAATCTCATTGCATTTCATTTGATTTAAGTTTTGAGCTGCAGGTAATGATCAGATAACCTATCTTCGTACATTCATTATATGCAGACATTATAGTGGTTGTGAAAAAGTACTCTGTATGATTCCAATATTCATAATATTTTGCAACCCCTTTATACAAGGGTTAATTATAAGGGTTTAACTGTGGGGCCAAAAAAATTGAATACTTTTTTCATCATTTTTAATTTTTGACGATCCACTTTATTATGGGCAATAGTTTCGTGCATTAAATGCTCAATGGTTTTGATTGTTTTCTAGTGTATATCCTTTTTTCAAAATGGATTTGAAATCTTTGAATATAAATTGCAATCTTTGAAAATAAATTGCAGTGCAGTCTTATTGCTTGTATTCTTCATTGCTAGTATTCTTTCTTCTAATTAGGTCCCCAAAGACTGATTGGCTGTGCATCAATACTTCAAGCGTTTCATAAGTATGACCATAAATACATATGCAAGACATGATACACACATATTTCTCCATGTACACTATGCTAACATACTTCTTGATCTTAGAAAAAATTATGGCAATTTTCATCTTGCTAATGGAGGTCTTTATGTAATTTAAAATTTGACACAAGTAACTTATTTCATGTATATTTTAGACTGACCTATGAAATATTTCACACCAGGGTAATTTTTTGGACATGGCTATTTACAAAATTACAACATTCTCACAAACTCAATGATTAGACATCTGCTCCTATATCAGACCTACTGGTAGATTCCAGAACTTACACAGGCAAAGTGCGGACAGACTTCATGAACTTAATTAAAAGAGATTGTGCTAGATATCTGTGGAATAGTAACAATATTCTTTATATATACATTTACAAAATGTCATCTTTTCATGACAAATGATTATAAAAATGACTTGATTATTCGGTAAATTGTGTCTACATTCTATCCAAACCAAAGTTACTGCGAGCAAGCTGAACAAATTTGACCTCAACCTTCCATTGTACATGTATTTATTTTTGATTGCTGCATCTGTTTATTTCTCTCAAAGTTTTGGATAATTAATCACATTATACACTGCTAGTGACCTTGAATTTGCCTGAATGATCTTCGTTCATGGTCATGAAAATTTTTGTCTACACATATGGTTCGTTTTTCCTTTGTTTCTTCCATTTAAACTAACTGCCTCATACGAGGAAAATTATGATCATCGATATATATCAAGTTTTGTATTAAAGGAATGGGTTGACATAAAGTGATAGCACGTATCATTCATCGGTAAACGTTGTGTTTTAATAGTACCTTCTAAATAAACATGATTTACCAGTTCAATGTACATGTACATCTCTGTATTTCTCTGTCATTATTGTTGCCAAAAAATGTTTACATCTTCATTATAAATGTACGAAAGAAAACAGAGAAAATTTGCTTTGTTTAAAATAATTTACAAATACTTTTTCAAACTGGCTATGCTTGAAAGTGGAATGTGAATTTTATTACACAATATATGAAATCAAATCACATATAATTTGAATTTTTGGACAATATATAATTAATGTTTTAATGAACTTGTGATTCTGATCCGCATCATTGGCGTTTCATCTTCAACAATCAGTCTTTCGTATGCAGTTGGAGATGGCGGCATATCGGGAATATCTATCTCAGATTCTGTGTCTTGTCTGATTGGCTCTATTGTCATTTGTGGTAACTTAGGAACACCTTTTCTTTCGAAGTCTATAATATCGGATCGGGCTCGAGATTTTGCAGAGCCTATTACTTCCGGGAATACTTCCCTTGTACCACCAATAGCAGTGTTTGGTTTGGCATATTCAGGAAGGTATGAATTTTGTTTTTGGAAGTCCGAGAAACCAACGCTTATTCGAGTGGAACTGCGTTCAAGAAGAAGACGCCCTGATAAAAGAAATTGCAAAGAAAATTCAGATAAGTTCTAGCAAAATCCAGTTCTTTATCAAACAAATTTCCAGATCCCTGACTGTATATATTACTTGCCTTATCATGTGGAGATGTGCGCATATCTTTAAATGAAATGACGGGGTGTCAAAAGTAATAGAAATCTTGAGTTAACAAAGTAATAGAAATCTTGGGTTAACAAATTTGTTAACAGTAATTGATAAAAACATACCTTTTCCAACTATCTGTGCTTTTTGTACTTCGTCTATTGCTTTATGGTCTCTTGGTGTCAACATTTTCTGTGACGAGATCGGATTAGCGTACACAGTTTTTGATCGATTTAGTGAAATTACTCCACTTTTTATTAACTTAGCTTTATGTTTGTGAAACGATCCCCAAATTTCTTGAGAGCATGGATCAGCTAAAACCAGGGCAAGATCTGGCTTTTCTAGTTTATCATCATCAGAGATAGATTTGACAGTTTCAAATTCCGAAATTTGTTTCGAATTTAACAAGGAGTGATTAGTCCTTGAATTAAATGAAAGTGCAGTTCTTGGGGCAACAGGGATATCCAAGTCTGCTCGACTCTCTAAGTCTTCATCAATGGTTGTTCCTAGGGTAGTTCGTTGGCCAAGTGGCGTATTGGGGGGTGTTAAAAGATCCCCCATGCCTAGAGATGTATTTGGAGGAGGAGGGGGAGAATACACAGAATGACCAATATGACTAATATGACTACGTTTCTTGTCACCGGTAACCATCATTGGTAAGCTTTGTAAGTTTTTATTGTTCTGAATCTTTGGTTTGTCTTTTGAGAAGGATTCTGAAAGCTTGGGTCTTACTCTTCTATTCTCTTTACGGATTAACCCTTCCTTGTCCCACTCAAACAAAGCGTCTGCGTGAATAGGAGTGTAGGTGAGCCTAAAATCTGGTTTTGTGGATTCCGACGTAATAAGGTCGGGAACAGGGTTATCGTTCTTTTCTACTTTGTTATACGACCTCGTGAGTGAGTTTCTTGTCTTTTGCCGTCGGAGGAAAATGTTCTTCGAGAATGCATTTGTTCTCTCCCTAGAAACTTTCAGATATTGTAGATAGCTCCTATAGTTATTGTGTTTAATTTCACCTGTTGTATTTACCCTTTTTGATTCCACACTTTCGACACCCTGATCTTTTGTTGGACACGATTTTGTGTTTCTGTTGTTTAATTCAATGCTGAATGCAGAAAACGCAGATTCGCGTCTATGATTCCTCATGTTTTGTGGACAACTCACTAAATGTAATCCAGAATCGAATCTTTTCTTAAGAAGATAGTAAGTTGCTGCAATAGAATTCACTTTACGTTCACCGAGAGCATTCACTACCTCACTCTCTTTAAAATCAAACATCTTTGTCATATAATTAATCACAGATCCCTGGGGCACAAGCGGAAGAAGATTTGAAATGGCGGACTGCCGAAAAACGGTCTCCTCATTTTCTCCTACAAGCCACTGATGTCGCAAAATTTCCTCCATCTTGATTCTCCGCCTGGGATCGGATGTTAACATTGACTGTAATAGATCCCTGCATTCTACAGAAGAAAATTATCATCACATCACTATTAGTTCGCAATTCCATCATCATCAAATAAAATTATTTGTCAACAGATGTAATATTTGTCCTACTATACCTTTCACAACTTCAATCTTTGTGTTGTAAATGCTGGTTGGTTTTTTATAAAAACAAACTTTCCTCTGGTATTGATATTTTACTAATCCAGTCTAAGACTGTGTTATCAAATTTGTTAGAAACCACCTAAAAATTCTAGCTACAGAGATATTAACAACTTTTTTTCTAAAACTATTTCATAATTTCAAATAAGATCTAAACCAATAAATCGCTGTAAAAGGGATTGTACTTGAAGCAAAATTGATTTGAGAGAGTTTAGTCAGTTTACCTTCAGACAATATAAGCCCAGTATAACTTTTAACTTAACTCTAAGACAAATTCATTTTTTTAAATTTCTCTTTCAATGTTAATTAACCGACCAAACGTAAGATAATTAAATAAGGTTTCATTATCATATTTAAACTCTACAATTAGATTATCATCTGCTATAAATAGTTAATTCATAATATTTATTTTAAACCATTCCAAAGCATTACCTTCGCTCAGTGTTTCAGGAATTACGCATCCTTTCAGAATCAGGGAATTGAGCTGTGCTATATTGTTCGCGGGCTGAGGAATAAACGGAAGTGAACCAACAAGCATGGCAAACAGACAAACTCCTCTAAAAAAGAAAAAAAAGGATAGAAGCGTCACACACAAAAATGACAGCTTCAAAAGCATGGTGAACCGACAAACTCCACTAAATATTAAACGTCATATACAAGAATAATAGCTTAATCGAAATCTTTATTGGTTTATTTAATTTAACCGTTTTTACGTCGCCAGAATAAAAAACAAAATATTTGTTATATGTATTAAACATATCTCAAGAGTAAACAATGCAAATTTAATTTCTCTGCACTTGAGCTATAGAAAAAAGGACAATAATTCATAGAAAAGTTTCATCATTATGTTGGGAAAATATTGGCGGCATATAAATGAAACTTTAGTAAAAGAAAAATATAGAATGCCCCGCATCTTCATTCTATTTTGTTGAAAAAGGAGAAGATAACAAACAGTGATCGATCTCGACAAAATCTACAAACAATACAAATTTGTGAATAAGGCACAAAAACGGGCCCCCGGAAAATCTAGAGGTAGGATCAGGTGCCGAGGAGGAGTAAGCATCTCCTGTTGACCGGACACTGCCGCCGTGAGCCCTACGTTATCATCAGATAGACTGAATAATTCGACTATTTTGAAAACGTACTGAGCCTTTAAATGAGAGTCGAGTATCATTGTTTGACATAAACATAACACTTGCTGTTAATTCCCAGCATATCTCCTGGGTATGTTTAAGCTCTATTTTTCAGGTTTATTTGCTGATTAGTTTAGTAAGTACATGTATTTTTGCTATCTTACACGCTCCATATGTCCACCGCGGGTCCGTATTTCTGGTTATTGAGGATTTCCGGGGCGGCGTAGGCGGGAGAACCGCATTGAGTGGACAGGGAGGTGTCACCGTAAAACACATTACTCAATCCAAAGTCTGAAACATTGAATGTGAAATTAAATTAAGTACTTATAACTTTTAACATATTTATTCAATAGATATATGTAGTTAATAAATTTTGTCATAATTGTACATGTACATGTATCATTTAGATGCAAATATTCATATTCATTATAACTTACTAATTTTCAGTAAAATTGTTTTATATGTTATATTCTTAGCAATGGTTTTGCGTGTTGATCAAAAACTGAAATATAGCAGACCTGTTCTGTTTTTTATGAATATAGAAATTAAGTTTTCACGCAAACTTCTATAGTGAACTAAACGTTACCAAAGAAGTTTGCCAACATTATAACTAGTGCATTGATGCTATACATGCAATCAGGAGTTAACTATGAAAACTTACCTATTATCTTAATATCCAGATTTGCGTCAAGGAGAAAATTTTCTAGCTTCAAATCCCTGTATTGTTACAGAAATTGATTACAGTAATTATTACAAGACATATCGATTACAAAGTTTACTTCTTTGTAGGAAAAATAAATTACCTTTCTTATTCCATTGTAAGGGAAATAGATTTATTGTAATAGGAAATAAATTACAATGTAAATTTCTTTGTAAAAGGAAAAGATTATGTTTATTTCATTGTTAGTGGAACTACAGAGAGAGAGAGAGAGAGATAAATTTCAGTGTTCATTTCTTGCATGGTTGGTATGATTAGATTACAATGTCTATTAGATTGTAAGGGGTGTAGAATACAATTTTGAAAAAATCTTGTTTCCTATAAGAAAATATATTGATTTGTTTTATTTCTTTTTCAGAGAAATAGATTACAATTACATGTAAGAGGTAATAAATTACAATGCTTATATCAAAATCGTACATGTATTAGGAAATACAGATTACAATTTAAATCCTCTACCAAACTTTAAAAAATCATGGCTCCAGGGTCAGAGGTTTAGGCGTTAGTGTGGAGCCATATTGGTCATAGGCCTATTTATTTCATTGTAAGAAATATAGATTACAGAGTATACACATCATTGTAAGAGATTGCAATAGTTTTTATTTTCATTATAAGAAAAAGAAGTACAGTATTTTTGCTTTCTTCCATCGTTATTTCCCGATCGTGACAAGGAGCACACGGCAGGTGTGATCGGTCGGCAGGGGATGCTCACTCCTCCATGGCACCTGATCCCAACTCTGATGTTTTGGAGGTCCGTGTTTGCTCTGCTCCTATTTTGTATTGTTTAATGGACTTTTGAGCTTGAATACTGTTCGTTATCTTCATATATTTCATCGTAAGAGAAAAAGATTACATCGTTTATTTCATTGTAACAGATATTGATTACAGTGTTTATTCCTATGTATTAGATATAAATTACATTAAATGTTTATTTCATTGTAACAGATATTGATTACAATGTTTATTCCTATGTATTAGATATAAATTACATTGATTATTTTATTGTAACTTATATACATTACAGTTTTTATTTTATTGTAGGAGAAATAGATTTACGGTGTTTATTAGTTTATAGAATAAATCTATATAAAGTGAACCTACTATAATAATTGTAGCATCAAATTACGGCCAAAATATGTTTTATTATATTTTTTTATGTAATTAATAGCTCATCTGAGCCGATGGCTCTAGAGAGCATTTCTGACAGCAAAGCATGATTAGTCATATTTATATGGAAGTATTCTCAGGTAGTGTAAGATTCAAGTCTGTTTGGTGGAGTCCCACTTTGTGCTGTAAGTTTTACATAGGAATATATAAGGGGGGGGGGGGGATCTGCTGCTGAATTGGTTATGGTGACTCAGGTGAGTGTTGTGGATCATGGGCCTCTTGTTTAGTTATATAATAGACGACTTCCACATTTACAAAAGTTATTTCCCTTTGCGGGGTTAATCTGTGGTCAACCGGCCTAAGACACTGTTTTCCCTCTATACCATTACCAAATTTATGGGGTAATGTATTACAAATGAAATCTATATATATAAATACGTTTATTATGTTTGTTTTTTTTTATGTTACCCCATACTTTGACAATACAGGAACGGAACAAAATTTTCCGATAGCGTTTAAAGGTTGGAAATATTTACAGAAAAATGAGCGTAACGCCGACATCGGGAGATAACTCTTACGAATGTGAAACTCGTCTATTGTGTGTGGATGATGTCAAGAATAAATTAAATTCCGCGAACTATACTTTATTTCGTTATTGGTATTTTATCAATATTTATTGGTTATAACAAGACAATGAGTATAGCTGCTTTTACCTGTGAACAATGTTAGACACATGCATATGATCCACGGCAGAAACTATCTGACGGGCGTACTTTTTGCATTCATTTTCAGGTAGACATTTTCTGAAATATTGATCAATTCTTCATTAAACAAGAAACAATTAATCTGCATATTCTTATGTTAGATATTACATTACTTGAACAAAGCATTCATGATTGCAATTGTAAGAAAATGTTTAGGGCATAATTCTTTTTAAACTTAATGAATTATATTGACAAAATTGGTAGAAAATCGCGAAGAAAAGGGGAGTCAATTAAAACATAAAAATAAAAAATGAGCAAAGCTCCAGCTGTATGAAGTTAGGAAAATATATAAAATAAAGTGTATGTAACACCTTGCAGATGACATGGAATATACGTGCATTCTTATGAATACAAGTTTCGTTTAAATATGGAGTGCTTTTGGGTGAACAGTGAAGTACTTTTCTAGGAGATGTGAAATTATTAGTAATTTATATTCCACTTTCTACCTTTCTATTTTGCATAAATTTACTTTTTCACCATGTTCTAAGAAGGAATGATATGTAAGTTTGAAATATCAGTTTCTCTCGAGTGAGATCAAGAAATAAATATTAACGCATTTTCTATACTAACTTTATAGACAAATATTTGATGAATTCCCCACAATCGGCGTACTCCAGGACTAGATAATAAGAATTCTCCGTTTCCATGACTTCGTACATTCTGATAATGTTTGGATGTGAGAGTTTCTGTAACACAATGGCCTCACGTCTAACGTTCTTACGAACAAAGTCTCGCACCAATAACGCCTTCTTGGAGACAACTTTTACAGCAACCTGTAAAACAATTATAATATGAGACAGGTTTGTCTACAGGACAGTTCCTGTTAACTTATCTATAGAGCATATTTACTTATTAGTATGTGGTATAGTATAGGGAATGATACATGTATAGATTATCCCGGTAAGGATTAGGCAAACCATTTTTAAGCAAGGAGGCAGACAAATTTATTTTCATACTTTGTTCAGAGAGAGAGAGAGAGAGAGAGAGAGAGAGAGAGAGAAAATGAGAGAGAGAGATTACTTCAACATGTATATAGAAAGAGTAAGAGAGAGAGAGAGTATTGATATATTGAGAGAGAGAGAAGGAGGGAGAGAATACTGAGATTGTATGAGAAAGCGAGGGGGCTGCATTTTTGAAAAAATGTACATGTCTGACAAGACTCTCTTTATCTATTCTGTGAAAAGAATTTTCTCCATTTAAAATGTCAATCTGTCTCGATGTTCATGTATTTAACTTAAATCTCTTTATCTCAAAAATCAGAAAACGTTCTTCTGTGTCAACATTTTAATACTGACTTAATAAATGGTCCTGTTCATTTGTGGGTTAAATGGGCAAATAAACCTAAGCTGGAGTATGAAAAGAAAATATTATAATTGATTCAAGATTTGAAAACCCCCAACTTCATTCTAAACAGGGAAGAATAGTTCATTGGTTGAAAATTTTTATTCCAAGTCTTTTTGTGGCTTTGTACATCCAAACTAGAAAAAAACGCTTTACTTTTTTTTTACTCATATAATATCAAGAGTACTTCCGAATAACCAAATTTGCCCTACTTTTGTTCATGATTCTTGATGAATCAGAATTATTTTTTTATTAATTGTACTTAAATATAAAAACAAAATCGGAAGTAATTGAACTAACATTATAACTCTATGTAAATAAAGCAATTAAAAGTAGATTTATTGTTGTGCATATGTTCTGAAAAATATCCATCACTGTTCATCATAAACGCTTTGAATTGAAAATATAGGTCCCGCTATTGCTTTACGGTTGGTATTAATTAGATAGATAAAAAATTATGCAATTTAAACTTTTGTGTGGTATTAAACACTATCTTTTTAATCATGGCCTTTGCTGTATACATCAAATTGTTTTACATTTCATTATCATGAAGACGCCATCAGGGACCTGGACGCATGACTACTATGACCCCCCTAAAAGATTTAAACCTCCAAATCGCAGTTTTCGGAGACTTGATTCAGCAATATTTCCCAAATCAGAAATGCAAGAAAACTGCTGAATTTCTTTTATGTATCTCGACTCTCGAGTTATATCTAAACTAGCTCCATCACCTGGACAAAGAAAGCGTCCTTTTCCTTTTCTATTTGCTTGAATTTCATTCAGAAGCATGGTTAAGATTTAGTGCAAGTCTCAATGCAAGATGTATAAAAAAACAAAACCGTCCTAACCAGAAATGATAACCTTGGTATACAAGAAGCCTAAGGAGAAGAAAAAAATTCTTTAAACCTTCGCTTATCAAATATTTTCCAAAGAATCTTTTGAAATTTATAATTTAGCTTTAAAATGATTGCCTTTCACGTATGTGCTGTTAAAAGAACAAGTAAATGATGATAAAGTTTAGTATAAGAACATATTTAAAATGTGTATCTGAAATCAATTTTCCTGTCTAACAAAAAAAAAAAAGATTTTTTTTTCATTCAAACTTCTAGAGTATTCAAAATACGGGGTTAACATTTTATGAACGACAACCAAGTTATGGAAAGGGCCAATGTCAAACTTGTTTATAAAATTAAAAATAATGAAAAGTGCACGCACAGTGAGATGCTGTTTAGCGTTCTTCACTTGTATTGATTTATACCGGCTCTCCGTGTCAGACATTTTAAAAGTGGACATGATTTTAATCCTCGAGGATCAAAACAGCACGAGGATAAGATTCTTTTTTAAAACTCGTAATTGTCTCAACAAACTTTGGCTATACACATTGAAAAATGCAAGATCAATTTGCTCATAACTTAAATCACCAATACTGATAAAACGACTGATAAACTTGTGCCACTGGAATCTTCTAACAAGTGTCCACTCAAGACTATAGCTTTCTTACTTGATAAAGGTAATTTAAAAACATAATCTAGAACTTTAAACTAATATTCCTATAATGCACTTGGATTTAGCCTTGCCCTCGACATCGTGCAGGATGGCCGTTGAATGAAAACATTTATACATCGATATTCATCAGTAGTTGATAATATCGCGGTTCTATAACCTTGATAAAATTTATATGAAACATCTTTACGTAACAATTTGTGATTTATCATTGCGTGAAATCAGCTGTTTAACTGTTTATTTAATGCACGGATTTTAATGCGTGAATCTTAAATGAAATACCTTAACCGACAGAAAACTCTACAAAGAGAAAGAAATGAGCAAAGAATTGACTCTTTCAAGTGTCATTTACATGCAGTTAACTTAATAAATGTCCAAGCATTATATAGACTAAATTGTCATTCTTTATAGCAGTATAAGGTTTTAATTATTGTTATTAAACGTGAATGTTGAGATTCAATCTTGTGCATATACTGTACGACTGTAAGGAAAAAATTGTCTCGTGTACATGAGTAAAAATGAATATAACAGCTGATTATTTTACGAAAAACACGCTTGTGTCTTGACCATGATAGATAAGAGATTCAGGGTGTTATAGTATATGTAAATCTCTATATCGATAAATAAATCCTCTAGAAATGTACCAGTATTAGCAGCTGGGGTATTCTGTTGCACCTATTTGATTTAAAACTGCATCCATTATTGTGGCACTTTTTCTGGTTTCAAAACTGTCCATGCATTTTGTCAGAAATTTTGGGGGAAACTAAAGCTAATTTTAAAGGTGTGGATTTGTTAGCAACTTTTAAATTCTAATGTAGGTCTTTTAATTCTGATCAAGCGCATTTTTTTTTTTTACATACACAATTCAAATATTGGCTTTAGTTGTAAACATATGGGGGACATTAAGTCATCATTTGGAAATTCATTACAATGAATCACCCATTAACGTTGTTTTTCACCTTGTCTTGAAGACTTACAGTGTACTTTTAGAACCAGGTCCAAAAACAGTCCTTTAAGTTTTGTTCTATGAAGTGGGAGAGGGGATAAAACGAGAAACTTTGACTTTCGGATCTGAAAATATTTGAAAATTTCAACCCAATAGTATAAAAAAAATATTTTTGTTGTTAAAAGGATAATTGAATTCAATTTTACATATATACCTTTTCATGGGCGATTAAATGGATGCCTTGGCGTACTTTAGCAAAAGAGCCTTCTCCTAGAGTCTTTCCAAGGATGTAATTTCCGACCTTCTTTTTCTTCTCTGTGGTTTCCGGTGTGGAATGATGTTCGCCGGAAGTCTTCGCATCAGCATCTTCTTCCGCTCCGCTTGCTTCCTTCGTACCATTATCCTCCTCCGTTTTCTCCGACTCCATTAAAAACGTTACACTGATCTGAACAGCGAAAATAACCCTCTATTTTCTGAATAAACGACGCGACACTTTTCATCCATATTTTCTAATGAAGTCTAAAATTTCCCCGTCATATTTTAATAAAGCAGACACCAACCGGTAAGATCACACAAACATTATACACAACCTCTCGCGAGATTTGTGCGTCAGTTGTCATTTTAGTTTGATTTGACATCGCGTAATTGTCGGGTATTGTTCATACAGGCCTAAATAGTTGCTCCTCTGACCGTTATCTTGTAATATATCAATAATCTTTTGTTCGCGACTTAAAGCTTCGTATCGCGAGGAAACACACAGTGTCGCACCTCCGCTGAAATCAAGGTCCCCGCCTCGCTCAGTCAGGACAGATTTTTAAAGGGATTCGTCAGGCACTATCTATGTCCCAGCAGTCCATGATTCGTTTTAATCTGCTCAACAGTCCTCAAAAGTTCATAGTTTTGTTTGTTATTTTACAAGATTTTCCACCTTTTAATTGTATTTCTAGATATTGATTTTCTTTCTTTCTCTCCATGTTTATGATTTGTGACTTTTTTCCATTTCTTTTCCTTTTATGTTTCCCGGGGAAGTTGTTTCCGTTCAAGAAATGAGCAAAAAAGCCCGACATCAGACCGCCATCAAGTTAATTAAAGCCTGCAGAGGAAAATTATCGGTTTCTTTATAATAACGCGCTGCTTAACTTAACTTTGAAAACACTAAGGTCTTTGTTGATTTTTTTCGCTGTATTTCGAATTAATAATTGCCTATTAAACGATTTAAAAAATAAATAACTGATAGTTGAATAATTGGAAAAAGCGCTTCATTTGTATATTTGTGCACTTACATGTAATTATAATGGTGTTCAGATGAAAACACGCTTGTATTTCTGCATTATTATCAGTACAAACAAAACGCTTTGAATTCATTAATACTTTTGATCAAGTGTTTTCGCCAAAATGTACTCTCTCTCTCTCTCTCTCTCTCTCTCTCTCTCTCTCTCTCTCTCTCTCTCTCTCTCCCAAAAGTAAAAAAAAAAGTGAATTGTAATTCAGAATGCTTGCCAAGTTCAAACAATTTAATAAAACATTAAAATCAAAATCTAGTCAGAAAGCTATCACATATTAACCCCGTTATCCCATGAATATGACTCACTGGATATTTTTTTCATATCCCACAGCTGTGACGTCACAATAGTTTTTGTTCTTTTTGGCTATTTTTGGTCCTGCATGGACCAAGTCATTATGAGAAGGTAACAAGGATTGGAGTCTGTTGTCCAATCATTATCTTCATTATGGGAAATATAGTTTTTATTGGAGATCATTATCTGAAAGTGTGTCATGACCTTGACCTTTTTTAATTGGTAAGTATCAATGTAATGGGCAAGTTAGTGATTCGAAGTAAAATTTTTATGCCATTCGTCACTTTATGAAAGTTTTAAATATGCTTAATATTCTTGATATATTGGCTGTGGTCAGGGATGCAGCATGACTCAAACATCATTTAATCAATGTTAGGGTCAAATTTTCCCCGACATGCAGGGGCAAAACAACTTGAAAGCATCTGGGTTAAGTCTTGTTTATAAACAAATATTGTGGATTTCTCATCCTAATCAAAATTAGATGTTCCGAATCCGCAACCGCTTGGATTTCTTTTACTTTAAAAGAGACAGTTTTGAAAATATAGACCGAGTTAATAGTTGCTTGAACATTAGTTTGAAAATCAGTGAACGGTGTCATGTACGGATGTAGAAGACGGGGGAGGGGGGGGGGTCTGACCCCCTCACCTTTGGGATTTCTACAGTTACTAAGTTTTTATGCAAAGTAACGAAAAATGACCTGATACGAACCCCTCATCAAATACATAGTAAGAAGAGTCATGTATCTGAAAAAAAAATTGACCCATCCTTTCAGGATTTTTTTTTAAATTGAGAACCCTCTATTAAACAAAAGAAAAATGTTTCTTGGTCATTGAAAAATCATATCATAAACACTTATTATAAATAATTAGATTATCTATTTTATCTAACACAGGGAATATGCCATTTGCCCTCAGGAAAAATGTTCAAAGACAATTTTACTTATTTAAATAGGAAAATAATGTAAATAATTTATCTTTGCCTTATGAAATTTAAAAAAAATTCTTGAATTGATAAAAATAATGTAATATGCTGTAGATTTGAATTTATTTCATCATAGATCTAAGGACAGATCACTCTAACTACATAAAGATACTTGTCTCCTTTCTGACTAAATGAAATACTCAGAATATATTTGCTTATATGTTTCAATATGTATTTAGATAGAAAGAATTTAAAATATCATATTTTTCTTTCCTCTTCATAATTCAACAACTTAATATAGAAATGGTAAAGTAAGTTTGAAATCTAGCAGGAACCATGTTAATTTTGGCGGAACGGCGCAGTGATCGGCGGTGTATGAAAATATTTCCTTAAATAACTATACAGAGCAATGAATTTACTTAAAATTTTCAAACAATCAAAGACTTAAAGGAACTTTCTTATGTAACTAAAATTAATAATTATAGACAAAAATCTTAAAGTACATGTATATCAAATGAAATATGATTTTCTAAACGAACTACAGTCTTGAAAGCTTTCGAAAGCTTCTAATCCAAGTACATGTACATGTAGATTTAAACAAAAAATCAGAAGTTTTTTTTTCTCTCTAGGAAACGGACAAATCTTTTTGTTTTTGTATTATTTTGTATCTTTATAGGACTACTTCATAATATGTGAAAATAAGAAAAATTTAAAAATACGAAGCAACTACATCAATATTCCCAAAAATTTAAGAAAAATAGAGGAAATTCCGATAAGCCAATATCTATTTTAGTTAAACTATTAATGTCAATTTGATAGTACCATCTGATAGATACTCCATATGGTAACATCTTTTTATGCAAAAAGAAAAAAATCTTTTGAAATAGAAAAATGTTGGCAACAGTATTTTTTTTAAATATCATTGTCAAAGAAAAAGATAATGACCTTGACCTGATCGTGCTTCTAAATAATACGGCCAACTTAAATCTAATTAATACAATCACTAGGTGATATTGTCTTCTTGAATCTTTGAAAATTTCATTAATTTTTAAATCTATACTTATAAATTAATAAATTTTGCAAATAAATTCCGAAACGGGTGCACCAGAGTTTTCACTTACCCCTCTAACAATAAACTAGATACAAGATGATGTCCGTAAACTATATTTAGATTTCACTCGCATAGTAAGTATCGTACATTAAATCAAAAGTCTACTTTCAATTTCTATAAACAGCCATGAAATAGCAAAAACGTGAGTACGGTGGCGTTTCCGGTTGGCGGATCTAAGTTACTGGCAATTTTTAATGACACTGACAACAAGCAATCGTTTATTTATTTCATGAAACGTCATCACTGAATTATTCAATCAAAACTTGATTTAAATGATATAAAAGAAATAAGTTGTGATAACCGATTCAAAAGGGAAACATGCAAATTATTTTCGTCATTCACCGATCTTAATATTGACGGAAGCTTCTAGAACATCATATAGCATCGAGCCCGACGTTAAAAAGATAAACGAGGCGATTACTACTGCATAACATAAAAAAAAGCTTTTGTGTGAAAAGTCATTGAAATAATGGTAAATCGTTGATAACACTATTAGTTGTGAATATATTTATATATCGAAAGACTATTATATATATATATATATATACATGTCCTAATAAATTTATCGGTAAAATTTGTATAGGCTATATTCCTTACTGAGGGCATCGTGGCAACGAACCCGAAGTACAATTTGCACTTCGTAATAAACTTGCTTACATGAAAAGAAAAAAAATAATGAATAAGATATTGTTCAAATACAATTAAAGATGTAAAATTTTGTGCTTTAATCAATACATTCCAGTTTTTTTTTCTGAATACAGTCTTTTGTATCAAATACTCGGCCTATTCATAGGGCGTTAAAAGCTCATTTTTACACAGGTACTTGGGTCTTGGTTTATAAATACGTATGTACCTTATTGATATGTAAAAAAAGTAAGTAAAGTACTTTTTTTTTTTTTTTACATATCAATAAGGTACAAACAGACCCAAGTACCTTTTAATCCCCCCTCCCCCAAAAAATCAATTAATCAGTAAAATGAGCATACTTGCTACTTTTATCCTTGACGGAACTGAAATAAGAGCATCTGAAGTTAAATGTCCATAACACAGGTTCCACAATAAACGTCAATTAATGAAATTGTTATTTTTTAAATTTTTACAAAAAAGGGGTTGGGTGTTTGGGGTGGAGACGTACAAGTATCTACTTCACGCGGGATTTTGAACAAAGTATTCCTTCCTGCTATAAGTCTGTAGGCTGTCAGTAGAAACTATAATATATTTTCAGTCGGTAGTGGTATAAATTCAATTCCTCGCGCTTGCGCGGGATTTCATCTAGTACAATAAATATCAGACGAAACCTTAAATAATTTGTTAATAAAATTTAAAATTTTATTTTAAAAGCATACCATATTCTTATTACTTAAAAACATATACATGTATGCTTTGAGATATTTACACAGTGGTGGTAATAAAAATGTGTCTTTGGCCAAAAAAGAATTATTAAGTGATCTATTAAACGCAAGATGCAGAGCTCGGGATTTATGAAATGAAAGTCGGGTTCGGGAAACAGATTGTAAACTGTTTCCTGTTATTTTTCTTGACAAAAGCACGTTAGACTGAGTTTGTCAGAAAAAAAAGAAATGGCTTCTAAAAAGAAAAGAGTTGGAGAATTAGATACGGCTGAAAAAATGTCAGACCCAAGTGATGGGGAAAATATGGACGAGGAGACTGAAATGGAGGTGAACGAGGTAAACATATATACCAGTTTCCGCGTGTTGTGCAAGACATGTGTAACTTGAATTTCCTCTAAATTTTTATGTTTTTGATTTTTTAAAACAATAAAAATACAATAAAAACTATACCCTTTAAAGTATTTTAATGTGATCTTTTGTAAGGGAAGTAGACAATGTCATGCTGTTAGCTGACATTACATTGATCCTGTGTGAATACAAGTGAACTTCAGAACTTAATTAAAGATAAAATAAATAAACACTGTGAAGATTAGAAGTCGACTTACACTTGGTTTGCCTTTTCAAAAGTCTAACATTTGTTGCATTATTTAAGGAATCACTGTCTAGTTAGTAGAGTATGCAAGGGCATCAATGACAGTTGGAAACGTGGGATAATTTGCATAAATTATCCCACGTTTCCAACTATCATTGAAGTTCCTGGCATACTCTACTAACTAGACAGTGATTCCTTATATTTCCATTTCATTGTGTAATAAAATTGTAAATTAAGATCTTAAAAATGTTGACTAATAGATTCAAATTACACGAGGCCTCACGTGTCAATTTCAATAGTCCCCGCCCACTGACATCAATATAAAGACAGCTGCATGAGAATTACATGCATATTAGGCCTCCTTAGCATCAGACACAAAGACAGCCACACAAGAATTACATGCATATTTGGTCTTCTGTGCACCTGACCTTTCGCTTGGCGAAATTGACATTCCGGTAGAATGATCAAGAAATCAACTCAACTAACTTTCAAAGAGATATCACAGAGAAAACATTAAATAGAAATGGAAATATTCGAATAAAACTCTGTCACCAGATAAGGAAAAATGTCTTTAAGTCTGTGCTGAATGGATTACATGAATTCTATTTCCATTTTACAGGAGATACAGGTTGACTTTGAGGCCAGAGTTCCCGAGGGAAGTGATTTTCATGGCATCAGAACCCTTCTACAGCAGGTAGCATAATGATCAGCTCATATTATTATTTAGATGGTATCAAATTGAAAATATTCAATTAAAACTTTCAGAAATATATCCAATACAGTAATTATATATTTTTCAAACCTGTGTACACCCCCTGTGAAGTGAAGTTGATATTTTTAAAGATAAGCATCGAAAGAAAAAAAAATTGGTTGGAAACATAACTTTAGGATTTTTTAAAAATCAGTACATGTACATGTACCTTTGAAAAAAAAAGTTTGCATGTTCTCAAATCTTTATCATTTAGCTATTTTTGAAAGCCAACATCAACTTGTCAGAAATGGCAGACATCATTATATCACAGGGACAAGTTGGAAGTGTCGTCAAGGTAATCTAATTTTTTTTTATTTTGGTAACTGTCAAATTTTACAGCCAGCATGATTTCTGTTACTTTTACCGTTTAGAGAAAAGATGGTCTTGCAACTGAATTAAGCAATATTTTTTTCTCAGATCAAAAAATAAAGTACAATGTAGATAGTGACATGATGTTAACAATTTTAAGACCCACTAATCAACCAAAATAAAAAAGATTGATGGAGTGTAGATTTTCCAATGTTTAAGTAGAAACAATTACATTTAGATTTAAACATGTAAAAGAAGTATGAATTCATCTCAACTATAAACAGAAAATTGTTTCTTATAATACATATAGTTTTGAAAAATTCTTGCAGTACTTTCCTTTGATATTTTTTTTTAAATTCAGTACTTTTTTAATATATTTAATTCCCCAGCAATCCTATGTACCTGAAGAAGATGATGATGAAGAGGAGATGGCAGAAGATGATCCAGTCTTAGCAGTTACTTCAGTCATCAACATCACTGATAAAAAGGTTAGAGGTCAACATCACTCATAAAGGTCAGATGTCAATGTTGTTTATGAAAAGGTCAGAGGTCATCAGCTGTGTAAATATCACAGAAAAAAGGCAGCTGGAGGTTAATAAAATAAATATTACAATGATTACAGACAGAAATCAAAGTTTAGTCACATTGGTACAAATTGGTTGTGGACTAGTGTACATGCTTCAAATTTGATTCAATAAAGAAAAAATATGTCAAAGGAGCATTCAGTGTTGCATGACAACTGCTTGTTTGACATTTCATGATATTTGAATAACTTTGCTTGGATGACTGCTTGGTTTCTAGGACATGGAATGTGTGAAACAGGTACGGTCAATGCTGATTGACCAATGTCAGAAGTGTGGAGGAGATCCAAAATTCAGCAAGGTCCTGAATGACAGTGACCACCATGTAGGCCTTCTGGTCAGTGAGCGATACATCAACATCCCTCCACAAATATCAGTCCCAATGTTTGATTCATTGCTGTAAGTAAATAAATTCATATTCACTTATTTTGTAAGATGCTGGGAAAAGGGGGGAGGTTAGAATTTACTCTGCAAAAAATCAAAATGCTTATGCTTGTCAATAACCTGGAATTTGTTACATGTATTATGTGTGTGCTTTAGCTAGTGTTATGATGCAAAGTTATTTTCTCAAATTAGTTATAATATCTGCATTGAAATATCAATTCAGTAATGATTGCTATATTCATAAGTGCTTCCTCAAATTAAATTTAACAGAAAAGAAGTGGAAAAGTGTAAAAATAAGAAGATGAAGTATGACTTTTCGTATTATATCCTTCTGTGTAAGACATACCGACAAAAGGGTCAGAAAAATAGTCCCCTGTTCTTCACCAACGCAGAGGAGGAATATCTACAGGAGGTGAGGGATATTGTGCCATTTGATTTGTAGAAATGTGGTTATATGTTACATCAGAGAAGTCAAAATATGTGTTTTAAAAATGTTTATAGCAAATAAAAAAAATTCAGGAACTCTGAAAAATTGGAACAATTACACGGTAGTCACTGCAAGGCTACCCCCTGAAATTCATTTAAACTAAAAGGTTCTCAATATACAAACCTCAAATATGAGAAGCTTTAACCCCATTTCCAAAACAAGAAAATCATCAAAGATTCTAAAAAAAAAAAAATTAGGAAAATTTTTGAAAGATTAAAAGAAAAAAAAACTAAAATAAAACAAGCACGTATTATAGATTTTATATACCTAAGGAGGCTAGCTTGTGAACGTGACTGTTTAATTTACAGTAGAAAATCTGACACCTGTCAATCTGTTGTACTGTGTATTCTGACTAACATTTTCCCTGTTCTTTACACTGTGTAATTAGACATCCTGTCTATTCTGTCACAATTTGTGTCCCAGTTAGTGATGTACCGTTAATCTATAAAATCGATTATCTAATCGAAATGGCCCCGATTATAGATAATCGATTATAAGTTTGATAATCGATTAATCAAAATATTAGTTTAAAGCAAATTATTCCTATGAATTCTTAATTCATTCTTTTATGAATATCACTAAATCTTAAGTATTAATTTAATAAATGATTCCAATGATACAAAATACATCAAAAGTGCATTTTAGAAATCATTCCTGAATTTTTTTACCCATGTATCCTTCATTCAAAAATGATTTAATTAAATACTTGAAATCAATAGATTATTAATCGATAATAGTGCATCCAATTATTTCGATAATCGATTATGAAAAAAATTCCGATTTCCCATCACTTGACCCAGTGCATGTGAGATTAGACAGATTTCACTGTATAATTTGGGATATTTCTCACAGTTTTCTTTAATTAGTATGGACTGCATTGATAGATGTATAGTAAACTTTGTCTTTAATTTGTTATGTGTAGGTGAGTGAAGCAAAATTTCAGTATTCAGTTCAGGCAGACAGAGACACGGTTGTGACAGGAACTTGGGACTCGGAGGACCAGTTTGAGGCGTTCAGGACCGTACTGCTTATCCCTGCAGATAAGCTGAAGCAGGGGGTGGAGAAAATAAAAACTGAGCTAGCCACAACTTGATGTGAAAATTGGAAAATAAATTTTTTTATTTCTTTTCTTTTTTCATTATTTTGAGATTAAGTCAAGGTTATTAGCTAGCAATCACAGTACATTTAGATGTCACAAGACTGCTTGTATTAAATGTGCATTCACCCCCCCCCCCCCCCACCCCAAAATAAAAAACAAAACAAAAACAAAAAACAAAAACAAAGAAGATGTGTTTGTGAAACACTGATGCCCCCATATGGCAACTTATAGCGAAGGTTAAACTTTCTCAAATGCAAATCAAATATTTTAGTACCCAAACTAAGGTCTTGTCCAGAGGAATATACCAGTGAAATATGAAAGCCCCTAGCAGCAACCATTGAAAAGATATGGAAAAGGTTAAAAATTCTCAAAAGTAAGTCACACATTAAGGTCAAGGTCAAAATTAATGATGCATGAGAAAAAGTCTAACAAGAAATACAGATGTGAAATATGAAAGCCCTAGCACCAACCATTCAAAAGGTATAACAAAGGTTAAAGTTTTTCAAAAATAGGCAAAGGGTCAAAGTTGTTGGGTTCCAAAGTAAGATCTTGTCACAAGGATTACATATGTGAAGTACGAAAGCCCTACCATCAACTGTTCAAAAGTTATGGCCAAGGTTAAAGTTTTTTTCAAAAGTAGGTCAAACTCCAAAATCAAGGTCAAATGGTCAAAGTTGTTGGTATCTAAGGAAGATCTTGTCACAAGGAATACACATGTGAAGAATGAAAGCCCTAGCACCAACCATTCAAAAGTTATGGCCAAGGTTAAAGTTTTTCAAAAGTAGGTCAAACTCCGAAGTCAAAGACAAATTTGTTGGCATCCAAAGGAAGGTTTTGTCACAAGGATTACACATGTGAAGTATGAAAGCCCTAGCACCAACCATTCAAAAGTTATGGCCAAGGTTAATGTTGGGTAAAATTGGGTCAAACTCCAAGTTCAATATCAAATGGTCAAATATGATGGTACTCAAAGAAAGGTCTTGTCACAAGGAATACACATGTGAAACATGAAAGCCATATCTCCAACCAATCATAAGTTGTGAGCAATATTAAAGATTTTGCGGACAAACAGACAGCTAGAGGGACGGACAAGACAAAAAGCAAAACAGAGAAGTTAATACAGGCCCAGTGTTTCTTTAACTTTTTTGTCCTTTGCCTTTGTGAATATGAAGTGTGCTGAAATTCCTTTTGTTTAATGATTATTTATTATTATTCTTAAAAATTTATTTATTTTTGTCCTGCCGTCATAGGGAAAAATTTATCCTTTGACTGAATAATCTCTCTCTCTTACTACCTGTATTTATATCCAAAAATTAACACTGTGTATAACTTGCACAGTGTTAAGATAGGGCATTCATATTTGATATTTGCATTACCTGTGACAAGATGTTTCCAAGTGTGCTGATTTTTGACCCTCTGACCTTGAAGTTTGACCTAATTCTCGAAATCTTTAACATTGCCGATAACTTTTGAATGAGAGATTAGACTTTCGTATTTGACATGTGCATTACCTGTGAAAAACCTTTCCGATTGTATTCTGATTTTTGATCTCATGTCCTTAAGTTTTTACCAACATTCTTTTTCAATTTTTTTTTACATAGGTATTAACGATGATAGGGGCGTTCATATTTTATATGTTCATTACCTTGACAACACCTTTCAGATATGACTTCATGACCTTGAAGTTTGACAAACTTACCAAAACGTTAAACTTTTGCTCCAGAAGAGACAGGACTTTCATATTTTTTTTCACATGTACATTACTTGTGAAAAAAGAACTTTCGGATTGTATTATGAAATTTTATCTCATGACCTTGATCTTGAAGTTTGATGCAGACTTGAGAAGCTTCAGTCTTGAACACAACTTTTACTTATTCAAAAAATTATATTTCTTTTGTATGATAAACAGACAAGACAGGACACATAAAAAAGACAGTAACAATATGCCGTAAATAAATGCATCCCAAACGCTAAGACACCGAGGGGAACACAATTCTTCGAATTTACTTATTTTAGTATTAGATAATGTATGTACATAGAGGTCATCTGTATGGTGTGAATTTATTTGTGCGTTTTCCAAAGAATTGAAATAGTGTATATTTGCAGGCTTGTCGATAAACATAAAAATAACTGCATGTTTTGTTGAATTTGGACATGTACCAACACCTATCACTGAGGGCCAACGAATATTCACATTGCATTTATGATGCTTGGAACTTTACGTGGAAAAAAGAGTTCAGATGAATTTCAAGAAGTTTCAAGAAGTTTATTTATTTCATTTTTCCAATAATCAAAACAAGATTAACACAGCTACAAAAAATGTCTAATGACATACTAAACTATTGTAAAGGTAATTTAATCATAATTTACATGTATTTAACAAAATATACCTCAGTAAAAGAAGCAAAGTGCATTTTACATAAATATTATCACAGTTAATTCTGGTGGATTGTCGATTGTGGAGCTTGTATTTCATTGTAATTGAAAACTTGTACAGGATTCAATTCCCATGAAGAATTGAAGATTCCTGTAAATATTCAGATGCAATTTGCCTGTTGTTTGTTTTCATCCAATAGCATAATCCACTTTTTTTTTTGAAAAAAAAACTTTTTTATACCAGCCCAATTCAGTCAGTATGTTCAAAATACACGTTATAACTTTGGAAGGTGAAATTCATTAATTACAACTTATGCTTATTGAAAAAAGTGTAGCATAGCAGTCCTTTAAATATGAAGTTACTCTAGGTTAAATGCTAATTATTAGGAATATGAACTTTAAAAAGTTGTATTAGAGCATAAAAATAAACTACAGAAATAAATCATATACATTAACATGTAAGACATCAAAATGTATAAGTATAATAAAAAACAAATATATCCTTGTCACAAGTCATTAGAAATGGTTGTAAATTGATGGTTAGAAAATATCCCACTATATCATATAAATGAGTGTATACAAGAAAAAAAACAAAATAAGTTTATTCCAATTATAATTTTTATAATTGTTTTTCTTTGTGCAAAATGCATACATTTTGGATTATCAAGTGGGAATGATATTTTTTCTAGAATTAAGGTCATCACATGTGTGACTTTCTATCATTATCCACTTATAAGAAAACATAGAACAAGTAAGTCAAAATCACGAAAAATAGATATAAAGTTTTTAAATCAATATATGCATTAATTTGTATGAAGATTTATCTCGTCAATTTGCATATAACACACTACAGATGAAAATCTTGAATAGAAAAAAATAAGACATGGAAACATCACTTATAATATTATTTTTGATTCTATAAATTATCTTCTTTCTACAATAACACGTATCTCAGTCATCCTTTACAGTTTCACTTCTATATAAAGAGGGGCTTTAGTTTCCAGAGATGAAGTGTATCCAAGCATTTTACTGGCCGCCTCCTCCCACGTATGACCTAATTCCAACATATCACACACCCAGTCATATTTCTGTCTCTTGGCTATGTATGTCTCCACCGAAACTCTTAGCCTTTCCTCTAAAAATCCACCTTCAATGCTCATTTTCTTTAGTTTATTTTCTGCTTTCATGAATGCAGACAAAAGACTGAGCTGATTAGAAAAGTCTAAAGGAAATAACTCTGGAACAATTACTTTAAGGATAAGGAGCAGGGCCAGGGCTGAAGATATCAACTCTAGGACGTCATCTCCAACCTTTTTACCTGATACAGAAAGAGAAAATATTCGTAGTTAGCTTTATGGAAAATGAATACAAGTACACACATACGAGGGGTGATCAAAAAGTTCGCGAACTATCTCTATATTTACAAATTAAGCCACAATTCAGATTTCAGATCAGTATGAAATTTGGCACACATAGTCATATACATGTTCTATAAATAGCAGATGTTATATAATGTTTTGTTTCGTGTTTGTGACGTCACAATGTAAAAATGACGTCAATATCTAGGTGACATGTGACAAAAAATGGTTGACTCAGTTGTACTCGAGCAACGAACGGCTGTAAAGTTTAACATATATCTCGGAAATTCCTTTGCAGTAGAATATGATAATTTGTACACGGTTTAAGAAGACAAAAGACTTACCAGAAGTTCAATTATTAATTGGATTGATTGTTTTAGCGAAGGCAGGTAGATGGTTAAAAATGATGTCTGTTCTGTTGCCCAGCGAAACCAAGCCGGTAAAAAGATGCGTCCTTAGTTGAGCAATTTGTTTGGAAAGATCGCCAAGTAACAATTAGAAAAATAGTTGAATATCTGAACAATAGTATGATTATCAAATCCCTAAAATATCGTTTGTTTTAAACTTTAAAAATATCAGATAAGATAAAAAGAAGGCGCCCATACTTTTTCCATATTGGATAAACGACGCTCCCGAGACAAAGGACTCGGGATTTGATGGTCACCATTCTATTTCTGGGATGGGATATCCTTATCCAGCCATCCTATTGCCGAGATTTGGCCATTTCTGACAGATGGTCTGTTCTTGTTTTAAAAAATAACTTGCATGGTAAGAAATATAAGACTAGGAAAAATCTCTTATCTTCTGTGAACAAACCGCTACGAAGCATGTCACGTGACCGCCTGGATCACATGATTCGCGCATGGGCAGAACAATGGCAGATGTGCATTACAATCGGAGAGGACTACCTTAAAAAATAATGAACATTGAAATCTCATTTTATTTCTTTCAAGGAAGTTATTCAATTAGTTCGCGAACCTTTTTGATCACCCCTCGTATTTTCAAATTAATTAAAAAGAGAAGAGTATTATATACAAAAAAATTTGAAACAAAATACACCTGTATCATATAAAAGAAAGAATTTATGTTGAGAGAAATTTTTCTTAGCATGTCAGAAAATTTAGATGAATCCCTATATATATTTGTGGTGGCCTCCTCATCTTCATATTCCTATGTTCTTTTATGTAGGATATGTGTTTTAACCAAGCATAATGTCCAGTTCTTCGTGTACATACCAAGTGAATTTAATCCTGCTCCCTGGAGGATGTCCATACATTTTGTGATGTCAATTCCAAAAGTCTCCTCCAAATTCGCTCCAAGTTTCCATAAATTATTCTGTTGGTGACAGAAGTATTTCAAACTAAGCACATTTATCATATGCAAAACACTCAGTCAAATATTCATAATGTATGTACATGTTCATGTAGTCTATATTTATGTAAATAAGTTCACAAGAAGATTCAAAGTCATAAAATTTACAACAGTTTGAACTATTTTCATCAAATATGCATGTACCTTACATACATATGTCAAGAAGTTATATACAGTCATGTACAGCCTGATATATTGAAGAAATTCTTGACAGTATTTTATATTGAGAGTCAAGCTAATGGTCAAAGGGTACTTCAGAATACTTCTCACATGGCTATATTAGTTTTAAAAATATTCCTGTTTTAATACTGATTCAGTCCCTTCTCAGATTAGAAATTGCTTCTAAACCCCCAAAAATCCATTGCAAAGTGGCGGAGCTGAAATGTACCATTATGAGCAAAAAGAATGTTGTATTAAGTAATCATGTTGTACCTACACATATTATGAGTAAAAGATTACCTCTTGAATATTAAACATCGCTTGTAGTGAGGATATATTCAGTCTTGGGGTCTCCTTAAGAACATTGCTGACAGAAGATCCAATACCATAAGAGTTTACATCAGAAGCTACCAATGAATACAGAAGATTTTGTTATGAGGTATCGGAATCAAACATGAAATTACATGTAAATAATGTTGTTATTTTGCTCTCTTTAAAAACCTTATCTCCTTGCTCAACCTTCTAAGAGTCAATCATCTATTTCTTCAGTTGTATCAAGAAGACCCTTGGTTAATCAAATTAAAAAAAATTCCCATAAATACTGGCATATAATATTTCTACCCCATATAATAACCCTTTTAAGCATCAAGAGGCAATGGCGTAACCAAACTTAAAGTCATACTACATGGTGCTTCTGTACATAATAAATATTACTAACATTACACCTTTTGTGCTGGAGAGTATATTATGGGGTTTTTTTTTTATCTAATGTAAAATTTGAACCCCTATTTTTGACCCATTCTAATTACAGGATCCATTATATGAAGAAAAAAAAATAAACACAACTTAGGAATGTTTATATCAATATCACTTAGTTGGAACTGCTATTCTTAAAGAAAATGGATCCAATCTCTGATTGGATTGTGGCTGTTTGTTATTTTGTTTTACCCACCTTTTTTGATGGCAGGCAGCAGTTTAGGGCATTTTGTATATGTTTTTTGAATCTTATGATGTTTATAAGGGGGTCAACTTGAAATACATGTATACTGTACCTTGTGAAAGATTACAGGGTTTGAATTCTTATTCTAGTCTGGTTGACCCCCTTTTTTCCTACATACATCATGTTACAATCATTATGGTGCTGGGGGTCAGATTGTGCAGTATTTTGCCTAAGATGTTTGAGTCCCCTTTTTCTGACCCCCACTTTGTTAACTGTGTTTTACTTCTTTCGTCATTTACTTTAATAAATGACATATTTCACTTCTACATGATGTTATTTGTTTTTGCCTGCTTTTAACAAAAAACAAGCTCAGTCGTTTGGCAGGAGAACTAAGGAACATAAAATAGTAATTATTGCAAATAATTTCATTTATGTGACATGTTCTAGTATAATAATTTTATTATATAATAATGTTTGTATTGTACCTAGTTTTATACTAAGCAGCTACACTGTTCAATTTATTTAACTAGTTTTACCCTTTTCCCTTACCCTAATATGGGTTCAACCAATCAGCAAAGCTCTTTTCCATCACGTGATCATTATTGATCTGTTTACCAAAAGAGAAAGTAACGTTTATTGAACTGCTGAATTTTTCGAACCCACCAGCCACCCCATCTGCCACCAATGCTTGTTATTTCTTTTAGGTTGACATTTTTGTTATTTCGTTTTACCCGTTTGTTTGTTATTTTGTTTTACCCACCTTTTTTGATGGCAGGCAGCAGTTTAGGGCATTTTGTATATGTTTTTTGAATCTTATGATGTTTATAAGGGAGTCAACTTGAAATACTTGTATACTGTACCTTGTGAAAGATTACAGGGTTTGAATTCTTATTCTAGTCTGGTTGACCCCCTTTTTTCCTACATACATCATGTTACAATGTCATTATGGTGCTGGGGGTCAGATTGTGCAGTATTTTGCCTAAGATGTTTGAGTCCCCTTTTTCTGACCCCCACTTTGTTAACTGTGTTTTACTTCTTTCGTCATTTACTTTAATAAATGACATATTTCACTTCTACATGATGTTATTTGTTTTTGCCTGCTTTTAACAAAAAACAAGCTCAGTCGTTTGGCAGGAGAACTAAGGAACATAAATAACAATATGTGTTTGTGAAACACTGATGCCTCCATATGGCAGCTTATGGCGAAGGTTAAAGTTTCTCATATGCAAGTCAAAATCCAAGCCAAAAGATAAAAAATGTTGGTACCCAAAGAAAGGTCTTGTCTCGAGGAATATACTTGTGAAATTTGAAAGACCTAGCTGCAACTGTTCAAAAGTTACGGCGAAGGTTAAAGTTTTTTAAAAGTAAGGAAAACGTCAAAGTCAGGGTCAAAGTGGTTGGTGAAGTATGAAAGCCCTAACACCAACCATTCAAAAGTTGTGGCCAAGGTTAAAGTTTTTCAAAAGTGGGTCAAACTCCTATGTCAAGGTCAAAAGGTCAAAGTGGTTGGTATCCAAAGGAAGGTGATGTCACAAGGATAACATATGTGAGGTATGAAAGCCCTAGCTTCAACCATTCAAAAGTTATGGCCAAGGTTAAAGTTTTTCAAAAGTAGGTCAAACTCCTAGGTTATGGCCAAGGTTTAAGTTTTTCAAAAGTAGGTCAAACTCCTAGGTCAAGGTCAAAAGGTCAAAGTGGTTGGTATCCAAAAAGGTCTTGTCACAAGGATTACATATGTAAAGTATGAAAGCCCTAGCTCCAACCATTCAAAAGTTATGGCCAAGGTTAAAGTTTTTCAAAAGTAAGTCAAACTCCTGGGTCAAGGTCAAAGGGTCAAAGAGGTTGATATCCAGAGGAAGGTCTTGTCACAAGGAATACACATGTGAAGTTTGAAACCCCAAGCACCAACTGTTCAGAAATTATGGCCAAGGTTAAAGTCTCATAAAATTTTGCAAAAGTGGGTCGAACTCCAAGGCCAAGGTCAAAAGGTCAAATACGATGGTACCCAAAGAAAGGTCTTGTCACAAGAAATGCACATGTGAGATATGAAAGTCACAGCTCCAACCAATCAAAAGTTATGGGCAAGGTTAAAGTTGACAACAGACAGACAGACAAACAGGACAAAAACAATATACCCCGGGATCTTTCGATCCCGGGGCATAATAAAAACCATTTCTTATGTACATTTTTTCCTATACACAATGAATCTCTAGTAGAGCCTTACCTAGCCCAGAGCTCATGACATATCTGAATCTGCACTATATTTGGAGTGTTGTATATTAACTAGTAAATGGCAAAATCCTAATTCTGCTGCTCATTTACAAGAATTTTTTAAAGCCTTTAGTTGTTAAGTTTGGTACCTATGGTAACACCATCATTACAATAAACTCCTAGTGACATAATTCACCCTGAATGTAGCTCTTAAAATGCTATTTCTATTTTGTATGCTTTTTATATGGCTTAAATATAATGTTAGTATTTTTCCAGTTTTTTTAAAATTTCGTCCATGTTTTTTGTGAAGATGTTAAGTGTGAAATACTTATAGAAGACACGGCAAGAAGACAGAATGTCACAAATCAATCTTCAGTCATAAAAGCTCACTGAGTTCTTTACTGAGCAAAAAACTGTATGATCAAGACAATGTTATCATCCTGAATCATGAAAAAAGAATCTTTATATTTGTATTTAACTTTCATCATAAATAGTGCACAAAAGTACCTTTTTCTTCATATCCCACTGGCAACGCAGGTAGTTTTGAAGTCCTTGGCATAAGCTAGACAAACAAAAATTGTACATTAACATCTTATACAACTTGATGATATATGAATTTCTTTAGCAAAATTCTTTTTGGTTAAATATTTTAATTCTGGAAATATTTATTTTTCTAGATATTTTATTTAAAGTTACATAATGAGTCAAAATCGTGTGTTTCTTTCAAGATAATTGTATCATAAAACAAAAGATTTAATATATGAAATATGACTAAAGCGAAGGTTTGACAACTCAACTGCACTGTAAAGCAAGAAAAGAACTGCAAAATATAAGTGCCGGAAAAACAAACTTGAAGGTTGTATCTACCGCTTTGTTGTTATCGTCAATGTCAACAATGTCAAGGTCAAGCGACTTTTATTTTTAGCGTGAAACTTGTAAACAACATTGAATTGGAGCAAACAGAAGTGAGAAATAGGTTCTGATCATCTTTATTGAAGATTGTATCAAAATCCTCGGTCATCCAATATTTATATCATATATTTCATCTATGGAATTGACACCATGGTAAATTCTTCATCTTTTCTGCGCATGTGTACAATAAAGAGGAAGAAGTGAAGCAATATTTTTGTTTAGGGGTAAACAAAAATTATTTTTACTTTTATTTTTCTCCAAAAAAGTAGATTTTTTTAGGTTCAGAAACCTGTAATTTTCTGAAACCTAATATCTTCAAGAATTGGTCATCCAAAAATTCTACTTTTGTCAGTTTTTACCTTTTCCATCACACTGTTACTTTAATATTTCTCTTAATAATACATTGAGATAGAAATTTTTAAAGAATATTTATTTTCAGATCCTCAAATTGTTAATGGTAGAAATGTTGCTATACACAAAAGATGACAAGGGTTCTTGACAATCACAAAGGAATAAGAGTATTTTCAAGAATATTCTAGGACAAGGCATGTCCAAACTTGTCCATCAAATCTATTTGTCAGCTAGATCTGTAGATATGACCAATTACATGAAAAATAGTGCTCTAAAACTATATTGCATTTTCAATACAAAATTTGCCCATCCTCAGTTCTAAGACAATGAAGAGTAAGGTAAGAATATTGGAGACCATGCAAAAACAAGTTTGTTTCCCTTGCACAAATGAATTAAATGTGTATTAAATATTAAAAAAATTTCCATCTATTTTAGAAAAAACCCTTAAGAAGCTTCTGGCCAAGGAACTGCAATAGGTAGCCATAACTCATTGGAGACCCTTAAAATGAAGACTTACCTCTGTAGCAGATTTCATTCTCTCTTTTTCAGCTTCCTTTACCATGTGCTCAATTTGTTCTTGACTCAGTCTGCCTTTGTCATTTCCTATCTTAACTGTATGTACATATAAAATCATCAGATATAAATTAAATCCTAAATTTTAATTGAAACAATCTACAGACAAACCTTAATAATATTTATGGAGTTATATAAATCTACCAATCAGGTTTGAGTAGAGAAAACTGCAATTGTTCATTAAAAATATTATTTTTGTAATATTTCTGATTTGATGTCATTAGAATGACCATTATTATTAAATATGACATTCTAATAAAAGGACTATTATATGACAATCCATTACTTATATCATGGAATTTAATAATTATGGTTTAATCAGCTCACTTGTTAAAATATCACTTTCCCCCTGAAAAATTATTTTCTATGTAAATTGTAATCTGAAAGAAGCAAAACTTAAGAGAAGTTGGAACAGAGTATGTTTTTTATTGCTTATAGGACTCAGAGCGCAGTGTAGGTGTATTATTGCTTACAGGACTCAGAGTGCAGTGTATGTGTATTATTGCTTACAGGACTCAGAGTGCAGTGTAGGTGTATTATTGCTTACAGGACTCAGAGCGCAGAGATCTGATGTCTGTAACTTTAACTGTTGTTATTCCGTTGGCGTCAATATCAATGGTCACTTTTATCCATGGGCTTCCAGGATGGGAAGGCAAAATATTTTTCTAGAAAATTAAAAATGTTTATTATTTAGATACATATCTTATATACTTCTTCTAATTTTCTGAAACAAAATTAGAAAAAATATATTGGAAAACAAATCTGTCTTAAAAATTAAAAAAAAAATATTTTATAGACATACTTTGCTGACATTCTAGATATGCATATGGAATTACAAAGCCACCAGTTATATCACATTTTGCATGCAACGAATATCAAGCAATTACTTCAATTTAAAAACCAGTTCAACTTTTACATATTAGCATGTTAATCTTTACTTACAATCTGGAGCTGTCCCAGAAAATGGTTCCGCTTGGCCTCCTTCATGCATCCTTCATAAACTCTGACATCTACTCTGCTCTGTTTGTTATCAATACACGTGAAATTCTAAAAAGCATATTTTAAAAATCTATAATAGATATAATTCATATAAGAAAATAGTATTTTTTCATGAAAAGCAAACTTGAAACATTTTGTAATATAAGGTGAGTTTTGAAGCATTTTCTATATAGACATTTTTGAATTACGTTTTGAAAAATAATTTATTTAAATATCACTGACACTTTATTGTAATCTAAAATTTATGTTTTCGTTATAACCTGTCTCTAATCACAGTATATAACACTATCTATAAAATTGCTGCACTTTCCCTCGATAAAATCTCTCTCAAATTTATTAAGTTCATGTAAAGCTGTTTTGCTTCAAATGCAATTATACATTGAAGTACATGTAGTAGATAGACTTATTTTTAAACTGCATTCTTCAGTCTGTTCCAAAATATTTCAAATTATATTTTGTTGTGTCAACAAAATTTATACTAGTGAATAAGTACTATTGGATGATAAGGAATTGATACTATTTAAAATGGATCAGGCTCAAGATACAAAAAGTGAACATTTGTTTATCTTTCGTTACTGCCTTCACTAACTGTTTGCATTGTATTAAAAATAATTTTGCATTTGTTTTGGAAACATATTGAACAAAACATAATTCACATATAGGAACATCGTAGTATGAAATTTAATTTGAATTTGCTTCAAATAAACTACATTTATGAATATAAAGATCTAAAGATTCAATTAAGTTTCCAAAATTGGTGCATTTTCTAGAATGATGCCTATCATTACTGATAAATTTTAGTTAAACTTCTTCTAATACGAAACATTGAGTAATGTATACATTTTTTTGGTTTAAAAATAAAATTCTTCAAATATATTTCAATTATCAAGAATTGAACCTGTTCTTTCCGACAAGGAATCGTGGTGTTTCTTGCGATAACTACACAGAAATTTCCCTCGGCGTCCTCTACCCCTATAGAAAGAGGTGCGACGTCCAACAGCAATAGTGAATGAGACTCCTAAAAATAATATATATTTCTTTTAAAAGTAAAATGATTATACAAAGTTGCATATTTGATAATGTTAAAGTATTAGAATTATCAATTTTCATTCACAAGTGATGATTTAACTTAATTTGTAGTTAAACTTAAAACAGTAAAAATAACAATTACTTTGGACCATTTAAAATTTTCAAAATAGTACTGTACTAGAAGAATAGTTTGAGTTATAAAATTTGAAATTCATGAATATACCAAAAATTAAATCAAAACAACTCGTCTCTCTGAAGCCAAGCACAATAATACAAGTCAGTTAAAATTTCACTCTTTGCATTATTTTATAAGTGACGCTTCCAGTCATTAAGTCCATGCAGTACCAACAACATTGTCTTTTGTAACAAATGCAAATTGAATTTGTAAACACGATATGAAAAAGCCATTAGGACATTCGCATCTTGAATAATATGGCGTGACTGTAATTAAGTGAAATAATATCAATGTTCTTTTTTTTCTCCCTCTACTCTGAAATGTTTATACTACCCAACAAGATTGAAAACAATGTAGTTTAGAAAAGATGAAGATTTTTCTTTTTGATTTACAATTTTTTTGTATTTTAGTTGTATTTTAGTTGTCCCATATCTGAAAAGACTTTGAAGTAATCCTTAGTTGCTAATGCAGACTGCTTGATGCCATCAAAATATGACTTCATATCGATATTAATTTATAAAACATAAGAATATTGATATCACTATTTTTTTAATGTATCAAGTGGTTCCTAACCTACATTTGCACTAGTTGAAAAAATGCTAAAATAATATGGTGCCATACGTTGAAAAATAATTATTGAACATTATACCTCTCCTTATCTTATTTATACTTCATAAAGAGATTGTGACAGATTTTATAATTTGTGTAATCAACGCATTTTCGAGATTATACTTCCAACATGGATATCTACAAGGCTTGTATTAGATAGTCATTTTAAGTTGTTTTGATCGAAAGATCCTGGGAGTATATTGTTTTTGTCCTGTCTGTCTGTTTTTCTGTCTGTCTGTTGTCAACTTTAACCTTGCCCATAACTTTTGATTGGTTGGAGCTATGACTTTCATATTTCCCATGTGTATTCCTTGTAACAAGACCTTTCTTTGGGTACTATCATATTTGACCTTTTGACCTTGACCTTGGAGTTTGACCCACTTTTGCAAAATTTTATGAGACTTTAACTTTGGCCATAACTTCTTAACACTTGGTGCTTGGGGTTTCAAACTTCACAATTGTATTCCTTGTGACAAGGCCTTCCCTTGGATACCAACAACTTCGACCTTTTGACCTTGACCTTGGAGTTTGATCTACTTTTGAAAAACTTTAACCTTGGCCAAAACTTTTGAACAATTGGTTCTTGGGGTTTCAAACTTCATATATATATTCCTTGTGACACGGCCTTCCTCTTGATATCAACCTCTTTGACTCTGACCTTGACCTAGGAGTTTGACCTATTTTTGAAAAACTTTAACCTTGGCCATAACTTTTGAACGGTTGGAGCTAGGGCTTTCATAATTCACATATGTAATCCTAGGGACATCACATTCCTTTGGATACAAACCACTTTGACCTTTTGACCTTGACATAGGAGTTTGACCTACTCTTGAAAAACTTTAGTCTTGGCCATAACTTTTGAATGTTTGGTACTTGGGCTTTCACACTTCACATATGTAATCCTTGTGACAATACCTTTCTTTGGATACCAACAACTTTGACCTTGACCTTGACATTTTACTCACTTTTAAAAAACTTGAACCTTCGCCATAACTTTTGAACAGTTGCTGCTAGGGCTTTCAAATGTCACAGGTACGCAGCTAGGTTAAGGACGCCCATGAAATATACGCATTTATATATTCAGGGAAAATGAATACAATTTTTAATATTTCTTTTAACAGCAGTAGTTTTGGTAAATGTGAATTGTGGTGATTGCATTTGTATATATCGGGTCTCTGCTGAGTTCAGCCAAAGTGACATCGCTTACATCAGCTGTTTGTCACGTGACAGGTTTAAAATTGGACCATATATGTACTACTACAAAGATCGTAAAAGTTCAACGATATACGGACATTCTTCCGCGATAAAATTTATTTTGTTTTCTTTGAGACAAATTCCTTAACCCGAAAAGTGCTGGGAGCAACTTCCTCATACTTGAGAATTGTTTAAAATTTAGCCGTCTTTCTATAAACCCCAGACAAAAATGTAATACGCATAGGAATAATGTTAGATTACGGAATAAATAAACAATGTACAACCAGCTCCCAGCACTTTTCAAAACAGTAGGAATAATGGCTACACGTGTTTAAAAATTCAGAATTTATAGTGAAACGGATATCGTTGAACTTTTGATATTTTCGAGGGGCTTGACCCCTCATTCTAGCATGTTACTGTACAAATGTGCTCCATGCGGCTATATATATTGTCTACACATTATCAATTTAGTTTGACAATAAAATGTGGATTAATATATTTCAGAATATGTCTCTCTTTTTGTCTGACTACGCATGTTTCGTATTTATTTTTATTTTTACAAGCCACGATAAAAGTTTGATCCACGCCTCAAATACAGAGAAACTGCGTGTCAAACTAAGAAATGACGTCATCTCAGTAAGTACAGCGAGATCAAGCTGGCTTTCATTCTGCATACGCTAAGTGCTATTACGGCAAGATAAGTTGCACATCCATTTATTTTTATAACATTTATGAGAAACGAAAGTATTTCGTGTGTTTTAAAAAGAACATTATAGTATTTATTCATCGAGATTCATTTGTATTGTTTTAACGTGACGTCATAATAGCTCTCCCAAACCTCTTCATAGGCTGACGTAGATATGGGAGTCCTTAACCTAGCTGCGTATATTCCTCGAGACAAGTCCTTTCTTTGGGTACCAACATTTTTTTTTATCTTTTGGCCTGTATTTTGACTTGCATTTGAGAAACTTTAACCTTCGCCATAAACTGCCATACGGGGGCATCAGTGTTTCACAAACACATCTTGTTTTGTCATGTTTGATTCAAGACATAGTGAAATAGTCCAAGACAGAACGTCAATGTGGGCCACAATCCGCACCTGGATATATGTCACTTAAGCAGTTCTTTAGAAAACTAAGAGATTTTTTTTTATTTCCATAAGAGGTAATTTCTTATATTATAAGCACACCCTAATTATGAGGAGTTTCTGATTCCACACAACATGGGGATTCTTCAATATAACTACAACATGGTCTTGCAGTTTCGGAGAATTTTAATTTCGGCATACTTGCATTAAGTAAAATTTACACTGGTGAGAGAATTTTATGTTTTTTTCTAATAGTCCAATGTAAAAAATTCCCTATAGTGCCTACACCATATCCCCAGAAGAATGATTTGATCAATGAAATACAGTCAGCGTTAAAAGAAGGCTTTCACATAAGTTACAACTTTTAAGATTTTAGAGCGTTTTCCAGTTCATTTCAATGTAAAATTTGAGCCACTTATGCCCCCTCCCCCCCGGGCCAAACTTTAACAAATCAGAATCTAAATAACTTTTCCATATATATTTTGATATAAAACTTTGATTTTTAATCCAAAGTGGTCCCACCCTACCATATGGGCCACGATCTGAACAACGTAGAATCTAAATAACCCCTGGTGTCAAATGTTTTATCTTTTCTTGTGAAGTGGTTCTTGAAAAGAATTTTAAAGGTTTTCCTACAAATTTAATTGAAAATTTTGATCCGTTTTTGTGGCCCCAGTCTATCCTCAAGAGCTATGTTTAAACAAATTTTCTCTACCTCAGGATGCCTTTAGATTAAGTTGATCTTTTGGCCAAGCGGTTCTAGAGAAAATTTTCATGACCCTACCCTATTTTTGTCTTTTCTTGATTATCTCTTTTAGGGGAGATAAGTCCTTTATTTGAAAACTTTAGAATCTCCTTTTACGAACAAGAGGCCGAAGGGCCTTAACGGTCACCTGAGTACAATACAACAATTTAGAGGATCCATAAACTGATAAATGAAGCTTTGTTGCCCAAAAGCAAGAAAAATAGTATGATTAGCATCAACAAAATAATTGGTCTAGTATCTATCTGTCCCCCATTTATCACTACATGTATTACCATGCAGACTATTATCAAAATGTCCATTTTTTACCCCATATTATTACTTCTCACATAGGCCTCTCCTGGCCTTTGAAAAACATTTAAAATGATAAGTTATTTTTGTCTCATTTTTATTGATCTATTATTTCCAAGTCTACCTGATCATTAAAACTATGAAAGTACTTTCCTGTATTATACAATAAATATTCTTGCATAATTCTCTTATTCTATTAACCTTTCAAATACATTGTTTACAGTGATTAATTATCAAAGGTGAATGGCAAAGTGGAATAACTTTGCTCAACAGAATACAAGTTAATAGAGCCCTGGTCAGGACCAGAACACTTGACTAAATGGTCCAGGTGTTCAAAATTCTGGTAAAAATAACTTTGCATATTAAAACTTTTACTCTGTTTGCAAAGAAGATTTTCAATGATTTAATGCATTTTCACTATATAATATGCCCAGAAGCATAGAGGATTTTCAAAGAAATACATGTTCACTATATTATCAATAAAGCCCCGCCCTTACACCAGAACATCTGACCAAGGGGCCATAAACTCAAAATTCTGGAAGAAGCACCCTTGCTCATCATAACTATACTCTTGTTCCTTTGCTTTATGCTTTATAACCAGCAGTAGAAAAAAATTTTTTGAAAGAAATTATGCATTTTTACTATTTTATCAATAGAGTCCCCCACCCCTTCACCAGAACCCCTGACCCAGGGGCCATGAATTTCACAATTTTGGAAGAGGTATTCTTCATTATCATAACCATGCATTTCCTTTGTTTGAATAATACCCAGGAGCAGAGAAGAAGATTTTGAAAGAATTTATGCATTTTCACTATATAGCCAATAGAGCCCTGCCCTAACACCAGAACCCCTGACCCAGGGGCCATGAAA